TTATAGCAGTCCCGTGCAGAGATTTCTTCCCTCTCATACCTTTATTGCATATAAGTTGTTCTTGATCTTTTATTGTTTGTTGTTGCTCCTTAATTTAATCTAGTTAAGGGTAAGCTGCACTTTGCTATACTTGAAAGACTCGCTCCCAGCAAGTTATCATTTGAATGGCTTGTTTTAATTCGTTGTGACACTATTACTTCTATTTTTCCGGAAGTTTCCCGATGCAGCTATTTGTTCTTACTCAATCCGTTTCTAAATATAAGTCTTTTTAGAGATTTCAAATTTTCAATACAAACTAAATACTGATGTATATAGACATATTTTAGAGTGTAAATTCACTCATTTTGCTCTCTATGTAGTCCCTTATTGACATATCTAAAAAGACTTATATTTACGACCGGAGGGAGCACATGCTAAAATTATAATGCTACAGAATTTTTTCTAGTTTGTTTTTTTGAGAGAGAATGCTGTATTGTTCATGTAAGGAGTGACCGAAGCATGTCTCATGTTGCTGTCTGTATCTATAAGCAATTTTCCGACTGCTGTGATTAAGTTGCTGGGATAATCCGAGCCATCGAGTGGACATTTCTCTGAAGCTTTCCCCAATTCTGTCTGTCACCACTGCATTTTTTGGATCACGCACCAGACTAAATGTAGTGAACTTCGAAGGATGTGTGTTTTGGTAGCTTCTTAACTTGTTTCCTTGCTAAGTAAGCCTTCGGGGTTATTCTGTTTTGTTGCTGCCTTCTTTATACATATAGTTTTGGTCTTTTGCATCACTTTGTCTTGCACTCTTCCGAGCAAGCTTATAACAGTGATGACTTTGTCCATTTAGTCATAGCAACTATTTGAATTATCAAAATTTGCTACCATTTGGTTACCACCAGATGTTTGTCTGTTGACAAAACATGGTCCAGGAAGGCATTTTGTCTGCTATGTTTTTTGAAATAGAATTCTGATTCAGGGCTATGATGATTGACCATTGCTGATATAAGCATGCTCTCGAGCAATCGAGTAAGCTTTGGGTATAAGTTGGATCCTCCCTTGTCTCTTGGAGCTGTTTCAACCACAACAAGAATTATGGAACGGAGGGAGTATATATTTTCTGTGGCTCTGTCCTTGGAAGGTCATTTTGATCAGTGATAACCAGGGCAGCTCCACAGTATAAACGGGTTGATCTGGTGGTAAGAGATGATGGGGGTAGGTTATATGATCTGAGCCCCTCAAATGCAATTCTAGTGCTCCTTCAGCATAATGTGCTATGTTGTTTCTCTTTTCTTATTTGTATTTGAAGGTGTCGCTTTTTATGCTCCTGTTTTTATAGCTGTTCTGTGTATATATTTCTTCCCTCGTACCTTTATTGTGCAAGATGTTCTTGCTCTTTTTTGTTTCATTCTTGCATCTATCTGCACTATAGTACGTGAAGTATCAACCAAAAAAAAAATTGGTCTTTGATGCTACATATTCAGTTAATTTTGTTCCCACTGTGCAACTTAAATGTATTGTCATTGCCCCCAGCACATTATACTTTGTGGTTTGCACACATGCATGGCAAAATACTCCAAACCTGATGTGGTGTAATGATGCTCTATCATGTATTTTAAAAGCATGCCTTGGGGCAAGCTTCTATATCACCACCCTTCTCCACAGAAGCATGTTCAAATCATAAGCTAGTGTTGGTGGTGCTGTAATTCGTATGGTCAATCAGATAATCAGTGCAACATGCTCGTCATGTGTTTGGATGCAACTGAGAGTGCATATGCACATTAGATACTGTGAATAAAAGGTTGTGTGCTTGGCCAGTAATTTTAATATGTGAGGCCTTCATTGGCTATGTATAATATAATGTTCTCTTGCCATGTATGTGTTGAGTGTTGGATAACAAAATGATAATGTTAAGTGAAATTCTTCAATATCAAATGAACTCTTTGTACAGATTTTTTTAGTTCTATTGGATTTCCCATAATAGTTTGCATACAGGTCTACCATTGTGTCTCTTCATGAATGCGGTACTACTAAGCAAGCCTGAGAAGCCTTTGTAATAGTTTGTGTAATTGAGCAGTTTCTTTCTTTCAACTGCCATAATGTGTGCAATTTCATCTTGATTCTAAAGTACATGTTTCCTTTCTACTTGAAGTTAGATGTAGGTCAGTAGGCATCAGGATGATTGCATAGCCCAATATTCTCCCTTGTTACATAATTTTGCAAGCTATTGGTGACCACAAATTATTACGGGTTCTGTATGCCAAACAATGCTCTCTGTTTAATGCAAAATATATTGTTTGTAGTCACTATTTGGTTTTGCTTGACATTGATTTTGGTGGTTTGCATTTAAGTTAAAATGCAGGCAGTGGTTGTTCTTTATTGTTTGGTAATTTAATTTTTCTCTTCTGTTAGTTGTACTTGTTCTTTATTGTTTGGGATTTTGTTGCTTTCAGGAGATAGCTTCTGCTCGCTTGCTTCTTCAGACTTGTAATCCATGATCATTTTGCTGCTTTCAGTAGGTAGCATATTCTTTATTCTTTTGGGGTAATTCTGTGTTGTTGCTGCCTTCTTTTTACATATAGTTTTGCATCGCTTTGCTTTGCACTCTTCCTGGCATGCTTATAACAGAGACCTTTGTCCATTAGACATAGTAACTGTTCGAATTATCAAAATTCGCTGCCATTTGCTCACCACCAGAAGTTTATCTGTTCACAAAACATGGTCCAGGAAGGCATTTTTTCTGCTATGTTTTTTGAAATAGAATTCTGATTTGTGCAATGATGATTGACCATTGCTGATATAAGCATGCTCTCGAGCAATCGAGTAAGCTGTGCGTATTCAGTTTGATCCTCCCTCGTCTCGTGGAGCCATTTCAACCATGATAAGAATTATGGAACGGAGGGAGTACTAAGAGCAACTCTAGCAGATTTGCTATATTTTTGGTGGCTCTGTCCTTGGAAGGTCATTTTGATGAGTGATAACCAGGGCAGCTCCACACTATAAACGGGTTGATCTGGTGATAAGAGATGATTGGGGTAGGTTATATGATCAAGCAAAGGCGAATCTGAGGCCCCTCAAATGCAATTCTAGTGCTCTTTCAGCATAATGTGCTGCACTGTTTCTCTTTTTTTTTATCTGTATTTGAAGGTGTCGCTTATTTATGCAATTGTGTTTATAGCTGTCCTGTGTATGTATTTCTTCCCTCTCATACCTTTATTGCGTAAGTTGTTCTTGCCCTTTTTTTTCATCTGTCTGCACTATAGTACATCAAGTATTAGGCAAGAAAAATTTGTACTTTGATGCTACATATTCAGTTAGTTTTGTTCCCACTGTTCAACTTAAATGGATTGTCGTGGCCCCCGGCACACTACTTTGTGGTTGCATACATGCACAGCAAAATACTCCAAATCTAATGTGGTCTAATGATGCTCTATCATGTATTTTAATAAGCATGCCTTAGATCAAGCTTCTATATCACAGCCCTTCTCCACAGAAGCAAGTTCAAGTCGGTGGTGCTGTAATTCGTATGCTTGTCATATTCCTTTTGGATGCAATTGAGAGTGCATATGCACATTAAATGCTGTGAATCAAAGCTTGCGTGCCTCGTCAGTAATTTTGATATGTGAGCCCTCGATTGGCTATGTATAATATGTTGTTCTCTCGCCATGTATGTGTTGAGTGTTGGTTAACAAAATGATAATGTTCAGTGAAAAATTTCAATATCAAACAAATTTGTTGTACCGAGTTTGTTAGTTCTATTGAATTTCCCATGAGAGTTTGTATGCCGGTATACCATTGTGTCTCTTCATGAATGCGGTCCTGCTGAGCAAGCCTGAGAAGCCCGTGTACTAATAGTTTGTGTATTTGAGCAGTTTCGCCCTTTCAACTGCGATGATGTGTGCAATTCCATCTTGATTCTAAAGTAGAGTTCCTTTCTACTTGAGGTTAAATCGAGGTCAGTAGGCATCAGGAGGATTACATAGCCCAATATCCTCCCTTGTCACATAATTTTGCAAGCAATTGGTGACCACAAATTATTACGGGTTCTGTATGCCAAACAATGCTCTGTTTAATGCAAAATATTTTTTTGTATTGTATTGTACTGCTATTGCACAAGATTTCTGGTTCCTCCTAACTATGAGGCACTATTTGGTTATGCTTGACGGTAATTTTGGCGCTTTATTTCAACTAGAATGCATGCAGGACATGTTTGGTCATTTGATATTTTTCTTCTCTCCTACGGCTACTTGTTCTTTATTTGTTTCTAATCATTTTGCTGCTCTCAAGAGATGCTTACCATATTCTCGCTTGGTTCATCAGTGACCTCATCCATTTGGTTTGGTGTCAAAAGAGAAAGGGCCTCCCAACCAAGTTTCATGTTCATCTTATTGGCTCTAGCTGTGATCTTGTAGATATTGCTGCATGTGGAACATATTTTAGCGTTTCCTAAGTTGGGTTCTAGAGTGGTTGCACTCTGTTATACCAAGGTAGACTTGCTGGCTTGTTTTTAAATGGTTGTCATACCAGCATTGTTTTCTCCCAGCAAATTACCAGCTGCAGCATTTTGTTCTTACATGTGACAGAGAACCGAGGATGTTGCATGTTGCTGTCTGTAACCATAAGCAATTTTTTGGCTGCTGTGACTCTGATTGAGTTGCTGGGTTTAGCTGAGCCACTGAGGTCTGAGGTGATATTTTGACTGCTGTTACTGTTGCCTCGAGTGCCAGTTTGGGCGTTCGACGCCTACGGTCTGTTCGAAGTGCTACGGTTTTGTTGTGTTACCCCGTGACAGGTTTCTTCAATGTTAAGCATCATTTAGCATGCTCTTGTTTTCTCAAACCGTTTCAAACCATCTCTTCGACCTGGTTTGAATAATTATACACTTTTGGTTGTACGTGTGCAGGGCTGCATGCAGGCTGGCTGGGAGTGTGTACGCTCTCGCACACCCGCGCCTTCTTAAATCCCAGACCACATCGGCAGTGACGCCGGCGAGCTGCAGGGAGTGACGGGCAGAAATGGCGGCCTCCTCCCACTCCGCCGTCATCTTGGTGCTGCTGTTGCTCCTCCTCGTCGTGGCGTTCGTGCCCGCACCGGCAGCAGCAGTGAGCCCCTCCAAGCGCCCCACCCATCAGCCTCCCTCTTTCCCTGCCGGAATCTCTACCCTGCGGCAGCTGGCTGCAAGCTCGAGCAGCGGGTACGCCACTGCGGCGAAGCCGTTCACGGCGCAGTACTTCCTGCAGGAGCTGGACCACTTCACCTTCACGCCCAACTCCTCCCGCGTCTTCTCCCAGAAGTACCTCCTCAACGACACCTTCTGGCGGCGGAAGCCCACCGTCGGGCCGCTGTTTGTGTACATGGGCGGCGAGGCCGACATTGAGTGGTTGGCCACCACCACCGGCTTCATGTTTGACATCGCGCCAGAGTTCGGGGCTCTCATCGTCTTCATCGAGGTAACCATCTTTTGCCACATCCTCCGCCATGGCTGATACTTTCAGCTAATCATCATGTCATCGGTGGCCACGCCTTGGTCCAAATTTTGGTCGTGATGCACACCATTTTCTTTCTAATTAAGCATATTAATAATATAATTATTAAGAGGTAAACGGGCTAACAAATGCATCTATATAGACTGAGTAATCTGTTCCCTTGATTATGCATTAGAATATAATCTTAATGATCAAAATCAAAAAGAATAATAATAATAATATATGTGCATCACAGCCACTCGTGATGGATCGGCGCTCCGGGTCGGGTGCAGTCCGATTGAAACAAAGAGAGCAGTCCTGATGACATCACTGCTGATGTCAGCACTCAGGCAATTAAACAAAGATTGACTGGAATTTCACATTCAAGAATATGACTCTAGATCGATTGAGACACAAACAATTATTTTCTGTTAGTTGGATCAAGAGCAAAAGTTCCTGCAAAAAAAAAGAGAAAGAGCAAATGTATCAACTAAATATTTTCCATCCGTAGTCCACAAAGTTCATAGATGTAAATGATTCTATACAAAGAGCAGAATTCTGATTATAAATATCAGCTTAAAACTAAAATGTGGAATAAAAATGAACATGGAGAAAAAAAAACATGCATGGGTAACTCTGATGGTGATCCGGAATGGCTGCGGCCCTCTGAACCCTGATTTATGGAACAGCACGGGAAACTCAATGCAAAGAGTGCAACTATGCCTGCAGAAGTTTGCAAACGAGAAGACTTGAAAGGCCGCGGCCTCCATCATCATGCTCACATGCTGGGAAATATGGAGGGAGAGAAATGGCTGTATTTTCAAGGGGAAAACTGCATCATCTGAAGATATTCTCAGACGGGTCACGCAATCACTAGAACTCTGGAGCATTGCTGGGCCAAAAAGTTTAGAGTGCCTTCTCGGGCCCCCTACTGGAGAATTTAGTCTCTTTCTTTCCTTCGGCCTTAGGGTAGGGTGTTGACAAAAACTCTGTATTTCATTTTAACTTCTCTCCTCTGCTAAATCAATGAAATGCCAGCAGGTGCTGAATCTTTCAAAAAAAGTTACTTAAATGTGTGAACATGGAGTAAACAATAACATGGGTATGACATAGTCCAGGTGGGTGTTCTTGAATTGTTGTCATGTGAAATTCAGTGGCGGGAAGTGATGATCATGTGAAAGCACAAGGCACGTCCGACAAAGGGTAATTAGAATAAGTAATCACTTCCAAAGTGTACATGTGAAATATCATACGATGTATTGTGGCCGTAACAAATCATATCAAATACACTTCACCTTGTTAAAAATATAGGGCGTTAACTAGCCCAATTCAGGTTTTGATAAGAAATTAAGATAATAACATGCCGACTATGTTATACTCCCTCCGTTCCTAAATATAAGTCTTTTTAGTCATTTCATATGGACTATAACATACGGATGTATGTAGACATATTTTAAAGTGTAGATTCACTCATTTTGCTTCGTATGTAGTCACTTGTTGGAATCTCTAAAAAGACTTATATTTGGGAACGGAGGGAGTAGAAAGCAAACTAGTATAATTGGATTTGTAATATACTCCCTCCGTAAAGAAATATAAGTGATCTAAACGTTCTTATATTTCTTTACAGAGGGAGTAAATCTCTTTTCTTCACTTATCATTTGATTATCTTTATCTTAACTGCAAATGAAATATTGATTATATAGTTTAAATTTGGAAAATGTGTGCCTTGTGTGTGTTACGGAGGGACTATGCAATAAGTTATTTTGGTCATGCTAAAAACATGAGTCATACTTACATGGTTA